AAAGTCCAAAATGAGAAGCGAGCCGACAAAGACTCTTTTCCCCATTCATCGCGCGCCCACCATTTCGGGCGAAGCGGATTTCGGAAGGCGAAATAGAAGATGGCCGCCGAGCGAGGCCCCTCTGCCGTTTGGGCCTTTGGTTTGGTTTCTTTACCTGCCTAGTGAGGAAGGTCATGGACGAGCGATTGACCCAGGCGTAGTTGCCGGCGGCGGCCATTCCCTTCAGGTAGTCCTGTCCCTCTTGCGACGTGATGCGGGCGCACGCCAGCTGCCGGTCGTTGACGGCGATCTTGTCGCGCTTCATAGCCTTCTCCATGGCCACCAGCGCATCTGCCGAGCCGGCGCAAAACCTCAGGGCGCAACGCCAACGCGCAAACGCCAGGGGAGCAAGGCGGAACGTTTGCCGAGTCCAGTCAGACTTTTGGCTTTTTTTTTTTTTCATCCTACTTTGACGCTTGATTTGGGACCAAAGTAGGCTAGCAAAAGTTGCGCTTGTTCAAGAAACAATTCTCGCGTTTTCCAAGAACAAGGCTCGTCGGGAGAAAAAGTTGTGACAAAACGACAACGTTAGTCTCGCGATCATTTGGTTTGAAAAAGACATTGGGGGGAAAAAAGGGGGGGGGGGGTCTGAAAACGTTCAACTCGGATCTGATTTTGTGCAAAGGGGCTTCCCCGCAGTCAAACTACGCCGGCTACCTGTGGCGACCTGATGGCCGAGGCCTCTGCTGCCGCTGTGGATCATGACGCACACCTGCCCCTTGTGGTCCACGCCCATCTTCTTGGCCGCGTAGTCGTCGTAGATCTGGTCCACCACTTGGATCTCGGCGTAGTGGTTTCCCGCTCCCAGCGTTCCCAGCTGCGGGGAGGGGGGCGAGGGGCGGCTTTTGGTCAAACCAAACACTTGCCTCCGCTCGACGGCACGCTTTCTTTTTTTCCACAAAACGTCCTTTTGTGTGGCAACCAGCTTTCTCAACATATTGGATTGATGGATTTTGCTTTTGTCTTCCGTGACTTTTGTGCCCTTTCCCCTCCTGAAAAGGCACGTTTGTTCGCGGGGGCTACCTGGGGGAGGCCCCGCTTCTTGGCCTTGGACGAGACCTTGTTGGGGTCGGCCTGCAGCATCCTGCCGTACTCCTCGCAGTGCTCCTTGTCCTCGGCCCAAGCGTAGCCCTCGCGCAGCGACCAGTCCACGCCCATCTCCAGCGCCTCCTCCAGGTCCCTGCCGGGCAGCGGCACGGCTCAGCGCCCCTCCGCTCGGCCAGCCCGCCCCCGCCCGACGCTTACTTGGCCCCCATGGGGATGACGCCCTTGGAGCCGACGCCCACGGGGATGTGGTCGAAGAGCGACTGCGCCAGCTGCTCCTTGACGGGCTGCACGTCTCGCTCGTCCAGGTTGGTCCTCAGCAGGCGCACGCCACAGTTGATGTCGAAGCCCACGCCGCCTGCCGCGCACGCCCGCCCGCCCTCCTTTAGTCGCGGTGCAAATGTAAACCAAAAACTCGCCGCGCGCGGTGGGTGCGCCGTCGCTCACCTGGAGACACCACCGCGTCCGGGTCATTCATGTCGAAGGCCGCCATGTTCCCGATGGCAAAGCCGTAGCCCGAGTGGACATCCGGGAGGCCGATGGACCTCTGTGGACAAATGGCACCACGTCACCCCGCCGAAGAATCCCGTTAACGGAGGCAAATTGGACGCTTGACAGTTGCTAGTTTTCTTGCGAAAGGACACTTTTGCCTCAGGGGGAAAATAAACAGACCTAAAGAAAACCTTTTTCACTCGACCTTTTGTCTTTTTATCCCCCCCCCCCCATACGACAATTGTGCCCAAAATTTTCTTGATGAATGTTGTCACAAATTCCATCTGTTTTCATGAAACGTTGTGAAAAACAATCTCTCCATAAAATGAAATGTTTTACAAATTTGACACTTTTTCTTCCTCAAATGATGTTTTGTTCTTATACACGACATTCTTTGTCCTCCAACTAGCAATTTCCTCTCTCCTCAAGCTGTTTTGCGTTTTGTTTTCTTTAAGGGGGTCGGGGGGGAGGGGTTTCTTCGGTTTAGTTGCTTTCCCCCAGGTCGACTTGTCAATTGTCAACAGGGGAGTGGCTCATACGCACGTGGACGATGCCGGGCAGCGCCGCCACGTTTCCGATCTGTTTCATGGCTGG